GGGGAAAGAAAAAGGGAAAAAGGAAAAAAAGAAGAGAAGAAGAGAGGAAAAAAAAGGAAAAAGAGGAGAGAGGAAGAAAGAAACAAAAGAGAGAGAGGAGGAAGGGAAAAAACGGAGAAAGAAAACGAGAAGAGGAAGAAAAAAAAAGAAAGAAGGAGAGGAGAAGGAAGAGAAGAGAAAAAAAAGAACGGAGAAAAAAGAAGGGGAGGAAACCTCCCCATATCTCCCCGTCTCTCTTCATCCCCCCCCAGGCAAGAGTACGCCGACGGTCTTGCGGACGTGCTCTTCGGCGACGTCAACCCGTCGGCACATCTGCCCCTCACGCTGCCGCGGGCGGAGAATGAGGTCGGCTTCACGGATGCGATGTGGCCGGGCGTGGGCGACAAGCAGCGCGTCGCGTCCTACTCCGAGGGGCTACTCGTCGGCTACCGCTGGTACAATGCGCACAACGCCACCCCCGCCTTCCCGTTCGGGCACGGCCTCTCGTACACCACCTTTGCGCTCGCGGGTCTGCGAGCGAGCCCGACGCGGGTCACCGTCACCGTCACAAACACCGGCCGCCGGCCGGGCGCCGCGGCGCCGCAGCTGTACCTCACCTTCCCGCCCTCTGCGGGCGAGCCGCCGGGGCAGCTTCGCGGCTTCGCGCAGGCGCAGCTCGAGCCGGGGGAGAGCGCGGAGGTGCGGTTCCCGCTGCGGGCGCGCGACATGTCTGTGTGGAACGCAACCACCCACGCGTGGCAGCTTGTGCACGGCAGCTTCGGAGTGGCGGTCGGGCTCTCGTCGAGGGACGCGGCGGCGCTGCGCGGCGCCTTCCGGAGCCCCTGAGGAGAACCCCGGGGAGGAGCGAGCCTGAGGGGACCCAAGCACCGTGGCGCAGCGGGGAGCAGGGGCCGGCAGAGGAGGCAGCCTCGTGTACCGGCCTCGCTTGGGCACAATACGCGTCCCTCCGTCGTGGCGTCTCCTCTCCGCTCCAAAAAGGGCGCGTCGAAGAAAGAAAGTACACGTCAGATCGACACAAACGCTAGCGCTATACAATGGACAGCTGACGGGCTTCAAAGACGGTGCGCACATTCTGAACACCGCACAAACACGTCACAAACTGGACAAAGCACGAGAGCCGGGTGGAGGCGGAGTCGGCAGCGACCACCCACTCCGGCCGCTGCTCAGAATATCCAGAGATGCCTCGTGACCATCTCGTAGATGGTATACGCAACCGTCAGGGCGAAAATCAGCACAACCACAACGCACAAGCCGCACATCACGCGGTCGGTCTGTCGCTGAGCCACCGCGATCCGGCCGCCGGCGATCGACACACGCTTGGAGCCCTCCATGGCGGATGCGGCGGATGCACGGCGGGTGCTCCTCGCAAAGTAGGAGGTGACTCGTGCGGTGAAGCGCGATCGCGCCATCTGCCGCTCGAGCGACGGGGGAGTCACCTCCGTCGCGTCTGTGTCCGGCTTTCTGTCGTCGGTCTCCTCCTCCTGCCCTGTCTCCACTGCCTCCAAATCTGGTGGGGCTTCGGTCCGGGTCGACTCGCCGCGTAGCCACGCCGAGATCCTGGTCCAGCGGGAGCGCGCCTGCTGGCGCTGCAGCGGCGGCACCATCGCGAGCATCTCAAGGACGGGCTTCGACCACCTTGGGCCAGCCTTGTCAAGGAGCGCCAATTATGATTAGGGGGGAACGACGCACGTTTTCTTTCTTTCATATTTTTTGGGGATTTGCTCGCCTTCATCACACAGCATCGCAACATCCAACACTCTTTCCCCTTTCTGTTCATAAGTGAGTACAGAGAGTAAGTGAGTGAGTGAGAGTGATTGATACTCCGTGTTATCCTAAAATCGCGGACGGACGAAGCGGGGGGTCGGGGTGATGTCCTTCAGCGCGCCGCAGCCAGAGGCGCCGCACGACGCGGTGTTGCGAGGCGACGAAGCGGCGGTGCGTTCGTGGCTCGAGAGAGGCGGGCGAGCAAACACCGCGCGCGAGAGAGGCAAGGTGAGCGGCGTCACGCTGCTGATGGACGCCGCCGGCCAGGGCCACGAGCGGGTGGCTGCCTCCGGGGGGGCCCGCGCCGGCCCAGAGGGTGATTTAATATTCTTTAGCGCCAGTCCCGTGCGAGGGAGTTTATTTCTAAAATTCTTTGGGCACGGCACAGGTTTTGGAGGAGAGGTGTCACTCTGTGTGCCACATTTCTTTTCACAGTGCTCAGCAGGTTTTTCATACTGTGTACGCCAACTCAGGGTGTGTGGCAGCCAGCTGGCTGTGTGTCTTGTGAGCTTGTTTGTGTCTGTGTGTCGCTCGTGCGTGTCGTCATCATCTGTCTTGCGTCCACCCATACCGCGTTGGTGTCCAGTCCGAGCCTGGCTGTTCTTCACCTTTCTACCTACCTACCTTCATACTCGAGTATCAGGGATTCGAGGTTGCTAAAAGTCTCCTCCTCGAGGACGAGGTGAACCTCGAAGAATTCTTTACTCCCAGTGCATTGCCGTTCTTAACGGAGTCGCTTAGGCGGCTCCGGTGGTGTGCCGGTGATAGTACTAGCACGCGTCAGTTCGCACCTGTGTAGGTCGGAATTCTTTACTCCCACGAGAGACAGACCGCCCCCGACACCGCCCGCGTATCTTCCGAGGTGTTATGCTGGCAGCGCTCCTTGTGTGCTTGGTTGCAACGCCGCGCCGTGCGACGAGGACAGAGCGCGCCGCTGCTCCGCCAAACTACTCCGGGAGGCCCGCCGCAGCGTCGCCGAGCTACAGCTGGGAGGCGCGAAAGTTTGGAGTGGTGACACCCGCCTCCGTGGTCGCGCAGGCCCGGTGCAGTCGGACCGCCGGCTGGCGTCCACTGTCGGCGGTGCCGCAGGGCGGAACCAAGGCCGGATGGATTGGTGGGCAGGCCGCTACCACAGCCAGCTTAGGCAGCGCGTGGGAGGCGCGGAAGTTTGGCGTGGTTACGCCGGCATCAACCTCTGGCGCGGCCACTCCGGGTCTGCCCTTTGAGGGCGCGTCCTTCGCCGTCGGGAGCTCGATCGCGGATCTCTCCTGGGAGGACCACAAAGCCGCAGCCATTCTCTCGCCGCAAAGCGAGCGCGGCCGCGTCGACCTGCGACGCACCGCCGCCTCGGCAGACAGGTCGAGGAGCAGCGGTCTGGCGGCGGCAGCAAGGCTCTCACAGGCGCACCCGCAGACGCCCCTCTCTCCAGCGGCGGCCGCGATTGAGGCGTCGATTGCGAGGGCGGCGGCAGCGGCCGCGGCAGAGCGCTTGGCAGCGGTCGACGCGCTGGACGCCGCCGAGGCAGCTTCGGCCGAGGCGGAGGCGGCGGCGGCGGCGGCGGAGGCCGCCGCCGAGGCGGCGGAGGCGGAGTCGGCGGCGGCGGCGGCGGCGGCGGAGGCGGCGCGGAAGGCTGCGGAGGAGAGAGAGGCGGCGGCGGCGGCGGCGGCGGCGTCCGAGGCGGAGGCGGCGGCGGTGGCGGAGGTGGCGGAGGCGGCCGAGGCGGCGGCGGCGCAAGCGAAGGCGGCGGCGGCGGCGCAAGCGAAGGCGGCGGAGGAGTCGGCAGCGGGGCAAGCAGAGGCGGTGGAGGCGGTGGGACGAGCGGAGGCGGCGGCAGCCGAGGTGGCGGCAGCCGAGGCGGCGGCAGAGCGAGCGGCGGCAGAGCGAGCGGCGGCAGAGCGAGCGGCGGCAGAGCGGGCGGCGCCGCCTCAGCTGCCGCCTCCTCCGGCGGCGTCGACGCATGTG